TACAGTTCTCATGCTATTCAAACAAAGGAGTGTCTCCACTGCTCCCAGATCACGTGTTCTAGGAATGGTGATGATAATAGCACCCTACATCTCTGAGATGGAAAATAAGAACCGGTAATGAGAGAATAACTTTGCAACATGGTTTCCAGTCTCTGGAAAATGCAGTGGGACACAATCGAGACATGTGTAAAAGCATTTCCTTTATAGTCAGAACTAGTTTTATTCTTACTTTAGTGGGTTACTGACCATATATCCCGAGGCAAGTTGCTGCACTTCTCTGAGGGTAAATATCCTCTTCTGTAATATGAGAACATGTTGCTTTCCTCACGGTATCCTTATAAGGATTAGACCAAGGTAACTTGGGTAAATATTACAGTGCAATACCTGGCTTATCAGTAGATACTTGACCAATGTTCAACAGGATGAAAGAAGGTTAAAGTGAATCCATTTTATTCACAGTTTCATATAGGTCTCAATATAACACCTTCAAAAAGAGAAGCAAGAAGCACCTGCTGTATCTGCAAAAGAAGGTGACAGAAACCAGATTTGTGCTCTTGTCTCCAGAACAGAGTTCATCAAACATTTTCTGTAGAAGACCAGAGAGTAAATAGGCTTTATGGACAATATCATCTGTGTTGCACCTGTTCATTTCTGCTGCTGCAGAGTAGAAGTATTCATAGGCAATGTACAAATGAATGAATGTGGCTTTGTTGCAATAAAACTACTTATAAACATAGGGAGTGGGTAGGACTTGACTAGAGTATGATAGTTCACTGACCCCTGCTCTAGACTATGAAAGATGTTGCAGCAGATGAATAAAAATGTGAGAGATTAGAAGAAGATTTGGGGATTAAAGGACTCACTTATGGTGAGTCCTTTATTACGCTATCACCCGCTTTGCACACCAAGCACAGGGTAACAGGGCGGAGAGCATCCTTCTTCATCTCAGGTGAGAAAGGGTTTGAAGGGACCACTCAAAGAGGAGCCTTTGTGAACTTGTGTCTAACTCACACCTGAGATATTACCAGCTAGCCCACAGCTTGAAGGGAGAAGAAAGCAGCTGAAGTGGGACTCAGTTGAACTCAGCATTTCTAAAAACAAAGGGTGCATTGTGGTCTTTTGTGGACCAATATGGGCCTCACATAAGAGAGCTGTCTTAGCTCTTGCTTGAGAAGGGTGAGTGAACTTGATTGAAAAATGCCAGAGGCATACCAAAAAGAGGAAGCTAAAAGGGGAACCCTACATGATCAACTGAAATAGAAATGCACTGTCTCACTGCAAGGGGGAGAGCTCCAGCCATACAGATGGGCTAGCATTATCGCAGAAATTCACAGATGTTTGCTGAGAGGCAGAGTTAGACACTTGCCAGCCTCAAGGAGAACCTGTGTTCTCCCTCAACAGTTCTACTCAAGTAATATATTCTCTACCTCTTTTCTCTAGCCTGGAGGGGTCTGAATCAGGCTTAGGAAGATAGAATGAGATAGTAAAAGAGCAATTTAGAAGAAGAAAAAAGAAGCCAACCATGCACCTCTCTTGGGGTTCAGGGAGCCAGACCCAGGACAGAGAAGTAGCTGCAGCATTGGTTAAGTTTTCGCCTGTAATCCCAGCACTTCTGGAGGCCGAGGCAGGAGGATCACTTGAGCTCAGGAATTTAAGATCAGTCTGGCCAACATGGTGAAACCCCATCTCTACTAAAAATACAACAGTTAGCTGGGAGTGGCACATGTCTGTAATCCCAGCTACTCGGGTGGCTAAAGCTAGAGAATTGCTTGAACCCAGGGGCAGAGGTTGTGGTGAGCCGAGATCACACCACTGGGCTCCAGCCTGGGCAACAGAGTGAGACTCCATCTTATCAAAAAAAAAAAAAAAAAAAAAAAGGTTTTGATTATTTCACTGGAATAGACAAATTAATTCTTTCTTAATTACCTATATGCTACTTACTTATGCATGACCAGAAAAAACATAAGACTTACCCTAAATGTAATCCAGGGGCAGAACAGAACCATCTCCACAGAATAAATGCAAAAGAAAAACAGGAGATAAAAATAAAGTTACCTTATGATTGTATCCCATGAGATATGCTTTTCAAGGTAATGGATATCAATGTTAGTGTCCTCTTCATATCCAAGAACATGAACTTAGTTAAAACTGGGCCAGCAGCTCTATATTGTATCATAGTTATTGAACTTTCATTTACTGGAAGAAGCATTTCAATGCACATCTTATTCCTCAAACATTGCTGTTCGATTATAAAACCAGATCATCAAACAGTTTGGGAATCTAAGCTATGGTATATAGACTAACCCCTCACCTCAACACAGTACATTTCCGTGTTCTAGATACATAAATCTAGAAATGTACATTATGACGCGTTAGCATCTTAGAACTGCAGCATTCGTTATCTTAGAATCAAAGCAGCCCTGTTTCTTGGGATAGAGCTTATTAGAAACATAACCTCAAGATACCTTACAATCTAAGATAAAAAGCCTCTCAAGATCTTAACATCATGGAAGCTTAGAAAAGTAGTCTTAGATTTAAAGAAACCTTACAATAATAAATAGAATCTTAGAAATTTAGAATTGTGGCTTCTTAGGACCATATCACTTAAAACCTTACAGGTCTTCTATAATCTTGGGATCATAGAATTGCTAAAGGTCAGAATCCTAGTGTGTTAGAAAACTGAAATGATAGCATTTTTGAGTCCTGCAATTGAATCTTGCTGGGATCTTAGGTATTATCTATTTCAACTTCTACACAAGGTAAAGATCCCTTTATAAAAGTGTTAGCAACAGCAGCAATATTGAAATTGTACAATAGATAATTCTTTGCTGGCGGGGAGCAGAAACAGGCACTCACCTGTGCACTGCCGGATGTTTGTCACAATTTCTGACCTCTACTGAGTGGTTTCCACTGGCACCTCTTCAGTGATCAGCCATTGACAAATGTCCCAACCACTGTTTTATACATCCTTGGTGTGTGGATTTCTCTGGTGGAGGAAATTATCTTCTAAGACTTTTTTCAACATTTAACATTGAATGTATACTCTGTGCTAGACCTGATCTCATTTGAATCTCTCAGTTATTATCTTTACATTTTACAGAAGAGTAAGTGGAGGTTTAGAAAAGTTGACTTACTGGGTCAGCGTTACACAATTGATAGCGGGTTGGAGAAGAATTTAAAGCTGTAATATTTTGACTACCCCACATCTTTAAAAGCTGAAACTGTCCTGACTTTACTGTTTGGACAGCATTTGCTATAAGAAATCACTTCTTTTGTTGAGCCAGATCCTATTTTTTTCCTCCAGTCTGTATTCATAATATCATTATCATATGGTTATGGGTTTATGACTAAAAGGCTATATATGAAGTTAGTTTCTATAATCAGACTCTCTCGAGTCCAATTCCAACTCATGACTTATCACTGTGACCTTGGATAAGTTCTTCACTATTTTTTTTCCTCACTTTCTTCAACTGGTATCAGGGTAATTTACTGTTGTGTGACTAGAGACTCCTCCAAAACTTAACGTCTTAAATTAACATCTATTTTGATATAACTCATAATTTTCTGGGTGAGAAATCTGGGCAGAGATTGGTTGAGCTGTTGTTTTCTCCACAGTGTTGACAGAGGCCACTTGATGGTATTCCGTTGGTAGGTGGCTGGTCTGGGGTATCCAGGAAAGATTTCTCACATGTCTGGCACCTTGGCAGTGATGACTGGGAGACTGGCTTCATATGCAACTATTGACCAAAGGGCAGGCAGGGCCTCTCCAGGTACAGTGGTAGAAATTCTTAGATGATGGTTCTGGGATCCCAAAGTGAGATTTCCAGTGATGAAGGGGAATGTTGCATGGCCTTGGATGACCAAGCTTTTGGAGTCACTGAGTGTCTTTTCTATTGTTCTCTATTGGCCAGCAGTCATAGCCTGCCTAGATATAAGGGAAGAGGACATAGACCTCACCTTATCATGGAAGAAGTATCTAAGAATTCACAGTCATATTTTAAAACCACTGCACCTATAAAATGAGACAATAATAATCTAACCTCATTGAGTTTTGAGTCTTAAAAAAAAGCTACACTTGTTAAAAGCTTATGACACAGCTTAGCATGTAATGACTGATCCAAAATATAAGCTGTTTTTATTTATAGGTGGGCTCAAATTAACAGGAATATCTCTGCAATTGCAAAATTACAGAGTCCTTCTTGCCTTCTCAGAGCAGTGGAAACATTAAGAGTTGGGTGGAAGCCAGGGTGCTTGAGGACAAGGAGTTAATTTAGACACAGTTCCCATGAGAGGGACTGTGAGATTAAAAAAATAATCCATTTTAGAGTATAAAAGAGCTGCTTCCATAAGTGATCAAGGCAGAAGGGCTGCCCTGGATTTATTCATGTCTGTATTGGAAGTGACGGCACATGTGTGCTCCCCTTATGTAGCTACTGTGCTGGGCACACGTACCAAATACACTTAGAAGGGGAAATAATAAATCATTAACAACTATGAGCTTCTCTTTGAATGGAACCATGAGGGGGGAGATCCCCCAAGCAATTCAAACTCAATTACTCTGTTCACCGAGTGTTTGAAATAGAAACAAATGAAGAAGGCAATTGTAGAGGCAGGCAGCATTCATCAGTGCAGCTGGATGCATTTTGTCCTGGGCCACTGGTTAGATTTTGTAAAACAAAAACAGGAGTAAAAATAATAAGAGTGACCCCTCACATTTGCAGAGCATGTCAGAATTAGCAAAGTCACCTGCTAGTCATCATCCCCTTGAGTTTTCCTGTAAAGCCCAAGTGGTTAATTACAATTGTCCAATGGAGTGACTGGATTTTATACACATCGATGGTCTTCCCCATTGTTACAGACTGTCAGCTGTCAGGCCTAGAGCCCAGTCTTTTGGGTCCTTGCTTAGGCTTATTCCAGTGTATTACCAGTGCTCCTGTCTAGTAAAGGTTTATTTAGTATAAAATTAGGAAATGGCTCAGCTTTTGTTCTTTCTCTTACAGAGAACAGTTCAATATTGAGAACATCCTTGAGGATCACAGAGTCCAGAGTCCCCAGAGAGAGACAGGAATCATGTCTTGTAGATGGCGAGTTACCTACACATCTGTCTAGGTAAGACCATATGTGTAGAATGGGTGAGGTGTTTCTTCTCCCCTAAACTCTCTCTTGTCTTCCATCTAAGTGTCCTCTCTTCTGCTGGCTTTTTCAATGTCTGGGTCTGGATGAGGGTGACTCACCTGCATGACGGTGGCTCATGAATTTCTGGAGCCCATGGCATCCACCATAGTGACTTTGTTAGTTTGCTTGGGCTTTCATAACAAGCACAAACTGGGTGACTTACACAACACAACCTTATTTCCTCACAATTCTGGAGGATGGAAATCTGAGATTAATGTGTAAGCAGGGTTAATTTCTTCTGAAGACCCTGTGTTTGGCTTGCAAGTGGCTATGATACCCCATTGTGTCTTCATATGGTCTTCCCTCTCTTCATATCTGTGTCCTAATCTCCTCTTCATATTTGGACACTAGTCACGTTGGATTAGGGCCCACCCTATCCTATGACCTCATTTTATTTCATTACCTATCTAAAAATCCTGTCTCCAAATGCAGTCACATTCTCAGGTACTAGGGGTTAGACTTCAACATACAAATCTTAAGAGGGACACAATTTAGCCTATAACAGTGATCTTCAGAGTAGATTCACCTGCCCGTCTCTGTCACTCTGAGAATGTTAATTCCCATGTTAGGTACCAGCACTAAAGTGTGCCAGGCTCTGTGCCAATTAGGCCCTTAGCATACAGCAAAATGCAATGCAACCACAAGCCCAAACGCACAGAGTGAAAGATGAACATATCTCTTATAGTTTTTAATGTAGCTTTCAGCTGCATTACAAATTCCTACCTTAAAGGTTTGTTGTGAATATTAAAAAGTTTACACACGTAGAATGCTTAGTATAAGTGTAGGCAAACAGAAAAAGACTATTCAGTATAAAATTAGAAAATAGCTCAGCTTTTGTTCTTTCTTTTACAGAGAAGAACAATCCAATAACGAGAACATCCTTGAGGATCACAGAGTCCAGAGTCCCAGAGGGAGACAGAGCAATCATGGCTTGTAGATGGTGAGTTAAGAGACATCAGTCACAACTACTTCAGGCTGACTTGTGATCAGAAACTACCCAAAAAGACAGCACGTGGCAAGTCCTGTGTGGCCCTGATTGTACCTATAGGACCAGATGTTAGAGAAATAGTTGGCTTCTATCCAAGTAAAGTTCAACTCTGTAGGACAAGGCGTTAGAAAAATCACTGGTCTGTATTTGAGTTAAACTCAAGTCTGCAGGAGGACCTCCTTTCGATGAGCTTTGCCCTCAAGGATAACAAATGGAAGGTATGAACTGTGGGCCTTAAATGGGACTATATTTAGAAGGGACTCAGGAAACAGTCAGTGAAGGCAGAAAAGAAGGGGGACTTGTGAAACCAAATCAAAGATAATTTCTCCATGTTTTAGCTGGGGCAAGTTGGTATTACTTAGATGACAAGAGTTGAGAAGGGAAATCAAAGAGTAGAAAGAGGTAAATCAAAAGTGGTATTCAGATCCTTGAGATGCCCATTAGACATCCACGTAGAGATGAGTTGTGGGCAGTTGTGCACATAAATTTGACTTCTAGAGAGAGGTCACAGCTGTAAGCCCTGGGTTAGGAAACCATAAGCATGCCAATGTCATTTAAAGCCCAAGAGCTGGTAAGGTTAGCTAAGGAGAGTATTCTGAGAGAGAGGAAAGCAGGCTAGATCAATCTTGGTCCTATGCTGGCATTCTTACAGTTAGAGCTTTAATAGAGAAAGAACCAGAGAAGATGCTGAGAAAAAGTCACCAAGAATCTGGTATGTGAAAAGGATAGGGTGGTGTATTGGAAGTCAACAACAAAAACAAAAGTGTTTTCAGACAGAGGGAGTATTTATTACATTTAATGTGGCTGTGATGTCATTAAATAAAAGAACAGAAAAGCAACCATTGAATTTGGCAAAATGGAGGGAATTATGTCCTTGGTAAGAACATATTTAGTAGAGAGGTAGAGGGAGAAACGTAATGGAAGTTAGTTGAAAAGAGAATGTGAGATCAGCAAGTGGAAAAGGTACTATGGTCAACTGCTTTAATAATGTTTTCCATGAATGGGACTCAAATTTTGAATGACTATGAACTTTGCTGTTAGTAGCATCTTACTGCCATCTTACAGATTTGCTGCCAGAGGGGAACAGAAACAAAACTTAGTTAATTTTCTCAGTTCTAGTTAAAAAAAAGAAAACCAGTTGGGATACCATCTTGGGTCACTTAATCGTAATGAAGGACTCCAAAAGAATCTGGAAGCTTACAGATAAATCTAAGGCTGGGATGGGAAAAAGAGCATTTCTCAGGTGTAGATTGACATGAGGGGGAGGGATGTTTTTGAATAGAGGAGGAGTGGTGCTGGATAAATAAAGCAGAATATAAGGACCAGATAATTGGTTCACTAAATGTACGTGACAACTATGTGAGGCAGATAGGGGAGTATTTCACAGTTCATGCAGGAGGAAACAGGCTTCTGTAGCTCCCCAGTGCAGAGTATAAATTCATACCCAGATGTAAAGGGCTTCCAAGAGCTTATACTCATTTCAGATGGTTATATAATGTCATGCACTGAAAGTCAATGCTATATTTAAACAGCAGGAGAAACAGAAGAGGTGGATCTTTAGGTGTTATGCAGTCGTTTTCTGGAAACTCTCCTGTGCCCTTTCAATGATGCCACATGGGTGCTGTTTACTTTGCCCACCCAAGAAGACCTCCTGAGGGTCAGGAATAGGTGACATTTTTTTCTAGGGATCTCAGCAGAATTCTCTTCATGTATGCCTCTGCTAAAATTGTTAAACCATGAGAAGTACTTTTTTGCATAAGTCAGCTTTTAAAATTCTATTTTGCTGTGTTTCTTTTCTGTTAATTTAGCAAGCAGCTCAACATATCAAGATCTCAAGATAGTACATCTTCTTGACTTGGTCATGTCTAGGCTCATCTACATGCTTTGAGAGGAAAAAGTGAAAAGTGAAGAATCACTGTTGGTTGGTTCTGATTCATTATTAAGTGTGAATGTGTGTGTGTGTGTCTTTTTTTTAGGCAACAATATGATAATATCATATTTTATATAAGAGAATAAGCTTATGGTCATAGCAGTATTATTTAAAGAAAAACACACAGTAACAAAAGTGATTTGGGGTTATCTGGAGCTACATTTTAGTTTGTGTGTGATACAATTATATGTGGATTTGATTTTGATAATCTAGCCTCTCCTGTCTATAAAACAACTGAAATGTCAGGCCGTATTTTGTATTTGCCTTGTCCTGGTAGTTTAAGATAATGCTGATTTCTAAGGGTAGCTGGTAGAAGTGAAGAAATTATAAGAGTATTAGATTTGTTGCTTACTATAAGCTCAGCCTCTTAGATTACACAGTTGAGCTAATCATTATAATTTGTTGTGAGAAAATACATATTTTTCAACACCAATCTGATTCTTGAATAATAGGATTGGGCAAACCAAGGCTGGGCTTTTACAGTGACCTACTGTGCATGTGTGTGGTTAACCTACAGTCAGTATTGCATGAAGGCAACCTAGTGTAGCAAAAGGAAATGGAGTTTGGATTCCAACATTTGCAGTCAATCGAGTTACTTCCGTGTCTTACTACTTCTTTGATTTGTGGTGTATTATGGCCTCTTTGGGTCAAGTTTTCTTATTCTTAAAGCTGCAATGATAATATGCAGGTTCAAGTATTTTCATGAGCTTTAAGAAAATTATGGTAAATAGCAGTGTCAGTTCAGCCTATGGGAGACCCCAGGAAGGATGTTTCTTTCTTACTATGCTGGCTTTTTAATTTTCTGTCTGCCTATGTCAAATGGTGATCATAGAATCATGAACCCCAACGGAATTATGGTCATCATCGTAAACAGAGCATTAAGACATGAGTAAGGATTGACATTACGAGTACACAGCTCTCCTTGTTCAACTTTCCAAAGTATAAAAAATTGTCGGCCAGGCGGGGTGGCTTATGCCTGTAATCTCAGCACTTCGAGAGGCTGAGGAGGGTAGATCATGAGGTCAAGAGATCGAAACCATCCTAGTCAACATGGTGAAACTCTATCTCTACTAAAAATAAAATCTGGACCTGGTGGCATGCACCTGTAGTCCAGATACTCAGGAGGCTGAGGCAGGAGAATTGCTTGAACCCAGGAAGGGGAGGTTCAGTGAGCCGAGTCGGCACCGCTGCACTCCAGCCTGGGCTACAAAGTGAGACTGTCACGGAAAAAAAAAAAAAAAAAATATATATATATATATATATATATAGAGAGAGAGAGAGAGAGAGAGAGAGAGAGAGAAAGAGAGAGTCAAAATTGTACTAGAAAAACAAAAATATATGATCAATATTTTACCATGTAGCATGTCATAATAGCGGCACAATATAAACATCAGGTTTTTTTTAAATTATAAATAATTAATTGCTGCCCTGACCAAAAAAACTATGGTCTCTTCATACATTGTCTTCATGCTGTATCTAAGGGACAGTGAGTATTCCGTGTTATGCTCCGTATTTGACTATACTGATATCAAGAGATTTCACAGTTTCTGCCCTGAATATGAATGGCTTATAAAATTAATAAAAACAGACCAAAAATAGCATTATTTGTAAAATGTCTATGGATTTTCTGAGAACTAGCTTATATTTTATTACAGTTGGTGCTCCCGGTAATTTTATAGAAGGGCATTAGTATACCCATGCTATTTTAATAGATGAGGAAACTGAGGCCGGAGTTGTTTAACCAAGGCGAGGAGTACCAATGATATTTGAACAAGGACATTTGTCCTTCAGCCCAGCTCAGAGCTTATATTGAAAATAGCAGATTATTATTGCAAGTCAGTTATTCTCGGTCAGTATTTTGTTTGACACATAGGATATATTCAGCAAAATGAAGTGGAGCATTGCCTTAAAAATGAACATATATGGGCCAGGCGTGGTGGCTCACGCCTGTAATCCCAGCACTTTGGGAAGCCGAGACAGGCAGATCATGAGGTCAGGAGATCAAGATCATCCTGGCTAACACGGTGAAACCTCATCTCTACTAAAAATATAAAAGAAATTAGCCGGGCATGGTGGTGGGTGCCTGTAGTCCCAGCTGGTAGGGAGGCTGAGGCAGAAGAATGGCATGAACCTGGGAGGCAGAGCTTGCAGTGAGCAGAGACGACACCACTGCACTCCAGCCTGGGCTACAGAGCGAGACTCCGTCTCAAAAAAAAAAAAAAAAATGAACCTATATGTAAATGGAAAGGGGGTATGGAGAGATAAACCTGACATTCAAGTTCAGCTTGTATTTCTTAATGGCTACTTTGTACTAGCCATTCTCAGTGATCTTCTTCTGAAATATGGGATTGAATTCTCTCAACATATTCATTTTCAGTTAAGGAAACTAAATTTTGGAAATATAAAATAACTTGATTAAGGACACACATCCAGCAGATATGGGAGCTAGAATTTGAATGTGGCTTTCCTTAATACAAGCCCAGTGCTGTCTGTATTGTTTCTGATGTGTAGTTGATGAATACAAAGGCATTTCATCATGCCTACAGAAATTCACAAAACAAACTTATTTCATAATTTTCTAATAGTAAGGTATCAGGTGGGTGTGTAATAGAATTCTCTTGCTTATTTGTAATTGTGCACCCATGTAAATCCTTATAATCACAACATATATAAAAATCAAGTGGTGTTTTAAGGATAAGCAGCCAGAAATTGTGACTCTTCATGTTAAGACAGAACAAAGATCTGAACTGACAGTTTTCAAGGCCAGTTTAAAAGTCAGACACACGCATAAATGAAGGGTCCTTCTGTGTCTCCTTGTTGGTACTAACGAGAACACAGCAGCCCACGTCACCACATTGCCATTTGTCGTGCACCTGGCAAGCTAAGCAACGAGCAGAAGCTGATCAGAAAACTTTTTATGAGAAAATGCATCCTGAGAATGAGCTAAGTGATGGGAATTTATTTTTAAAGTGTGAGTCAGTGCTTTGAGAGCCAGTATGAAATGCCTAATGCATGGGAGATC